CAGTTTCTGTAGAGCCATAGCGGCTTAGCATGAGCGCGCACTCCCAAAAAGTTTAGGGCCGTCTTGCGAGATGCTCCTGCCGCTCCCCAATCCGATAATGTCCGTTGGATTGCGCAGTTTCTTTTTTTTCGCGCCAGCGTTTTCAGACCCCGTGTACATGTATACTGATCTAAGGGCGACAAAAATGGCGCGGCCGTATACGGCTGTTGGGCGCGGCTTTGCCGCGAGCTGGCCAGTGCGCGCAAAACCGCGGCGCAATCCGTCAGTCCCTCTTTCATGCCATATTCATTCTTACCAGGGTGATTTTGCTTTTTCCCACCGCTTTTTCTCCATACTTTTCTAGAGTAGTAGAGACGTACTGTCTACTGAGAGTGGGCACACATCATGGCGGTATGTCATCATGTAGAAAATTTAAATTCCCTTCGCCATTACCTCGCTCAATCACTTGACTTTTTACTTACTCGCTGTATCATAAATATTATCTTTACCCCGACTTACAAATATTTGGTGTTTTTTAGACGCATCTCGCTGGAATGTCACGTCTGACTTATTGCTAAGAAAGCATCCGACTCCCTCGCATTTACGCCTAATCTTAGCTTTGCTGACTCTAAACTCGGTCCCTAGCTTTTTCTATAAACTTAGGTTATTCCCATATTAGAAGTTATTATAATTTATAATCTATATATTGTATCCAATGAGTGGCTTACCTCAAGGCATCACGGCTCAGAGTATAACATACGTCTGTTACACATTTACTTCTTATTTCTTTGTTACTTTTCTCAATGGGTGACTTGGTTGTCACGCATCTGACATCATCATGGTAAAACTATAAACACTTTCATAACAGGGATAACTAAAATCTAATAGAAGCCTAGCCAAAAATCGAGTAGCTGGCAACGAAGTAGTTTAAATATTGCTGTCTGACAATTCAGTTGTTTGTTTTTAGACATGGCTGAGTTAAAGAAGAGGTATTTTGTCAATAGTATACCAGACTATATGCATGGAGCAGTAGATATAGATACACAGAAGTGGAAAAGTCGAATTCTAAATGCCGTGGAAGATGTCATAGCAAAGCAGCCACCAACGATGGAGAATTGTGAGGGCGGTCTGTATGTTGGGTGTGCAGGTAGGCAACATTATTTATAAGGATAACAGATAATATATACTAATTTGTTATAGCGCTTGATCATAAATAATAATGTACTGTGAATTAATTGTCCAAATAAAGTGAATGCTTTGGATCTGATGGAAATGTACATATAGAAAAGAATACATGTATAAATTCTTGTATTAGAGAAAGGGGAATTAGCATATTTAAATTCTCACACACTGGTCTAAAGTGCTCATATGTAATGCACCCAGTTTCGAAATGGTTGGGGTTAAAATTTGCTATTCAACTTTAGTCAAATGGGCTAAATTCTGTTTAAATTTTATCTTACAGGTATATTTTTATTGAGGTTTTTTAAATTTTATTTTTATGCTCATAGTGGTTCAAGGATTAAATTATTTTGAACCCCCTTCACAGAAAAAAGTTCTGCAAACCTACGAAAAATCACCCAACTATCACATACGAGATTTTATTGCACCTGCAGGAATCGCATACGCGCTTTGTCACCTCGCGCACAACGAGGCTTTCAAGCCCGAACAGGGAAAGCTGCTGCAGAGCGCCGAACAGTACGCGACCGCGGCCTACCGGCACGCCGAGCTCCCGGAGAACAAGAACGATCGCCACACGAAGACCTCCTTCCTCCTCGGCAACCTGGGCGTGTACGCCGTCGCCGCCGTCGTCTTCAACGCCACGGACAGGAAGGAGATGGTGGCCAAGTGCCTGACCGCTTACGCGCAGATGGCTTCGCTCTGCCTGCCGACGCAGTTCGTGGAGTGCGGGTCGGACGAGCTGTTCGTCGGAAGAGCCGGGTACCTTTGCGGACTTCTCATGTTGAATAAAAAGACGGGACAACAGGTGTGCGATGAGCGTTAGAGAGGTTTTCTGTCTTCTGATGTGTATGCTCCGGAAAGATGTGCGATAGTACGTTTCTGTTGTTTTCGTGTGTCTGAGGAGAGTTAGGGTTAGGGTGCACCGAGCGTTTCCTACGAGCGTTAAGGGGATATCTGTCTTCTGATGTGTATGCTCCGGATGGATGTATTGTAGAGCATTTTTAGCTCACATTGACATCGTCAAGACGAGCTATTGCCATGGGATGTCATCCGTCGAACGTCCGTCCGTCCGTCAACATTTGGCTACGGTCAACGATAACTTGAGAACCGTTTGACCTACATGTTTCAAATTGCATATAGTTGTTACTCCTATGGGAGAGATTTGAACGTCCTATTTTGGAGCACGCCAGTCGACCTACTTTCGAGCCACGTCCACTTTTTGGCAAAAATGGAAATAGCCATAAGTCAGTTCAGGTTCAACAGATATTGCTCATTTTTGGTATGTGAATGAATGGACTGGCCCCAAAACATCACATGGGTTTTTATTATTTTTTTAAATGATGCAAATTAGGTAGATTTTGCCAATTTCACTATGCATTTCAGTGTCGATCTGCCTACCGTCAACAATAACTCAAGAACCGTTT